AGCATGAGCCAGGAGAAACTCAAATGGTTGTCGCTTATGAGTATAGAGAACGATGTCCTTAGAGATTTAGATTTCAAAGATGTAATAGGAGTTCGCCATTCGAAAGGCCCGAAAAAAACCTGTGTAATAAATAAAATGTTGTAAAAAATATTTGTAGCACGTGTTTTTGTAAAAAACATTTTTTTATGGGGAGGGGCATCCAACGGTGACTGGCCCAGGGCCCCGGAAAACCTAAAAATGGCACTGCCTTGTGGAATGTCAATTGTGGTATTCGTTCCCATTTCATTATTTTTCAAGTATTCCACATCTCCTTTGAAGTGCAGTAATATAGTTGATGAATGAAATATGCTCGTTTTCTTTTACGTTTTCCTTATGTATAATTCGGTAAATTTCTACAGGGTGTTAATTGAACATGCGGTAAAAAATTAAGAGACTATTCCTTGGACTTTCTTAGGATATTTTGACCTTTAATAATTTTTGATAGGGCGCTTTGTTTCGAAGACACGGGGCGAAAAAGAATTCCGACAATAGCAATTTTGGTAATTTTAAAATTATTAACGTACCCGAAATAAAAGTATAGCGTACTACACTGGACCTACCAAATAATAAAAAGTCTAACAATACCGTTGGTACCTATCAACAACATTCCGATTACAACAAACGGCTGCAGAAATTCAATTTGAATAGTATGTCTCGTAAGTGATCCTGGTGTTTTCGCATCCGAACGGGTGGTAGTCATTTTCAACAGTTCCTGTTTTAAAAATCTGTTGAAAATCTGTTTTTCTGTTAATCAGATTAAGAGATTTTTGGTAATAAATTGTTATTGTCGAAAATATTTTTCGCTCCGTTTCTTCAAAACAAAGCGCTCTATCAAAAATCATCAAAGGACAATATATCGAATAATCCAAGGAATAGTCCTTTACATTTTTGCCGCATGTTTTATAAACACCCCGTATAGAAATGCGCATTGAATTCATCAGGACATTATCTCCTTAATGCTTCATTTCTCTGCAGCATAATTTTTTTCTCTGCATAAGTGAGTCACGGTGCCACGTTCTCGAAATGAACCAAAAAATAATCTCAAATATTAGCGTGTTATCAGCGAATACCTCTTTAAATGATCTATAGAAAATCCGGACGCGAAATTCAAAACCAAACATATGTAGGCCGCAGGGAAGTTTTTCTTTTCGCGAGGCCACCTCTCACCCCTTCCTTCCCTATTCGTCTGGCATTCCCGCACACCTTGTACGTTGTGAGTTACGTCCGATTGTGATAATTAATATCAAGTTTGAGTGTCAGAGTAGACGATTAGCGGCAGACGTGCCCAGGATCCGCAATTATGAATGTGCAACAAGAAAGTCGTCACAACGCATTTATGTTCGGATGCTCTCGGTTAGAGGCACCCCCATCGGCAGTCAATGGCTCGTGAAAAAGCTTTCCAATTAAAAAGTTTACTTTGTTGCATTTTTATATACTCACATTTACACTTCACCTCGAATTACGGCCTCAGCGAGAACCTTTTTACTGCCGCTCGGTATTTTCTTTCTAATTGGAAATCTAGCTCGTTACTCGGCAGAATGAAACTTTTTCGCTCGATTACGCGTTTGTTAATTTTTTTTTCATTGCGAATGGAGTTGCCATAGAAAGTACAATTTATGGAAGTGTCGATGGTTGTTCGCTGCTTCCTTAATAAGTCGTATAAGTAGTAGAAACAGTTGGTCAGTTTGACACACCGATAATCCTAAACATTGTTTCCTGCTTGGTGCATTTATAACCTTTTCAATATAAATCTAAGAAATGAAGGTTAAACTCTGCGAGTATCAAAGTGCTTTGTGGATATACACAAGCATATTTTAGTCGATTGAATTGAGTCTTTCTCTTGGAAATCCTCAGAAACAACTGAAACAATGAATTTATTCCAAATGATTGTTTTTTAATTTTTTTTCAAATTATAAACCCTTTAAAGCGGCCACAAAATTGTTCAATTGTTTGAATATGCATGTCATTTATATAGAAATTTTTGCGTGTTTTTTTTTTAAATTCTCGGTAACCCTAAAACTTTTCTCAAAATCTGTAGTCGGGAGATTAATGGTCAAAAACCGATTTTTTAGACATTAATTCCAAATATCTCGTTTCCTATGCGTTTTATGCTATTTGTATTCATTATGAGTAGTGTAGAAGATCTAATTTGGGACAAGTTTTGTTTGAACATTTTTTTTATATCTTGAATCATTTTCGAGATAGAGGGCAGAGCGCGTACAGTACGATGGAACTATTAAAAAACACGCAAATCAAAAACACCTCGTATAAAAATTATATAAATTATTGATAAATATGTGATTGTGAATAATTTGCATTTTTCATTAACTATTACGTTATAATTAATAATTTTTTCAATAATTCAGTATCTATTACCTAATTGACTTACTCCTGTAATAATTATCACAGCGGCCTTCATGAAGGTTTTGAAAGGTGCAGCGACATNCCGAAATCTTCGAAGACAGATGGATTGGTAATAATGGACCTTTTCGTTGGCCTCCTAGAACACCAGATGACAATCCATTAGATTATTTCGTGTGGGGTTTCATTATAAATATGGTTTACTCTACTCCAATAACAACAATGGAAGATATGAAATCGAGAGTTACAACTGCTTTCAATAGTTTGACTCCAGACTTGATCAGAAGCGCTACACATGACAATCTTTTGAAGAGATTACATGTTTGTTTGAGTAGAGGTGGAGATGTGTTTGAACATATTCTGAAATACACTGACGATTAAATTAACTCAATAATTTATGGGTTTATTATTTACAGTTCGTGTTTCAGCGTTAATAAAACTCTTGTTTGAAGAGAAGTTTCATTCGATGATTGAGGAGTATTTTAATAATTATCTTTTCATTGTATCATCTGTGACTAATTGAGGAACATCAAACGAATTCTGTTTTACAAAAAAGAGTGATGAACAAGGAAACCATGTCAATTTCCGTTTGAAACAGTTTATCTCGAAAACGGTTCAAAATAGAAATAGTATTATCTGAACAAAGTTAATTTAAAATTGGATGTAGAGCTCAAAAATGTTGAAATATACAGGGTGTTCCATTTGAAAAAATTGAGTTCCACTCATTTTTTCATGAGATCAAAGTATCTGCATTTTTTGAAGACCCTGTATGAGGCAAATGAAAATATGACTCGGAGTGAAGATCCTCATAGTATCACTCCACTCCATTTCAAATTTGATCGTTTTAGTGTAAAAGAGTTCAAGATTATCAGTATTTATAAAAGTTCATGTTTGGTAAAAAAAAAATATCGAAATTAATTTATATCTTCTAAACGGTAATAGATCATAATAGGGAAATAGTATATGAATTTGTTGACAAAGTGATAGATCATAATATGATATTATATACGGGGTGTTCAATTTTAAAAATCAAAGAAGCCGCTACTTTATAGTAGAAGCGACAACGCTGCTTCGTCTAAAATACTTTAGGCGTGTGGGTCATATTGACTTATGCATATTGTGGAATTTTCAGGTTGATCCCTTGAATAGTTTGCCAGAAACGGCTAATTAACGCTCATCATGAAAAGCCCTGTATTGATTACTTCATAATAAATAAAAAAGGAATTGAATTCTTGAATACATTTCATACATTCATGAAAATTGGATAACAATAAGGATTTCAAGTTCTAATTTAAATTTTTTTCTTTTTCTTCATCATCGTCTTTCAGTCGCTGTAAAATTTCAAATATCTCTGTGTGCTCCTCTGCAACGACATTTGTCTTCAGTTCTTCCAGAATTTCGGGATCAAAAGCACCGTCTTCATTGATATCACTCTGACAAACACTGCAGCCCTGCTTTCCTGCATCCACATCGCGAACCACAACCATTCTTGCAGTTGCAAAATATTGTGTCAAGCCATTTCTCCGAAGCTGATGGATTCATTGTCACAACAAGTACCAGGAATTCGTCATGCATTATCCAACCCCAATTCTGGGGTTCTAAATCATACCCTAACCAAGCCTGAACTTGATAATAAACACGTTTGAAATGTTGGTGAGTTGCTGCACTCGTTAGTGGAAGATTTGCTAACTGCACATGTTTATTCAGTTTTATTAGACGATCGATAGAGTCCTCAGGGCACTCAACCCCCCGAAGCATCTAGGTCTACGAAGGAATCGGGTACACTTTTTTTACTATAACCAATATAACTTGATAAACAGTAATTGCTTCCAGATAGATTTCAAATGTTTTGGGTCCTCTCACTTCATACATATTCAGAAACTCAGAATCGAGAGTCGAGAGTTTCAGACAGGGTAATCAGCTTGGTTGGACGTTGTACCCAGATCGAACGTGAAAAAGTAAGACCCTTTCACTGAGTCAACCTGTTCACTGTCAACAACACGCTTGATCTTGCTCTGGAAACATTTTCTACAGAAATGAAAAATTGAAGGACCGTTTTGATAATGAGCAAATCAACATATGCAAGAGGGTTCCGCACATGAAACCTTGATGGAGTATTCATAAAGAATACGAAGGGGCGTTTGCCACGCAACAAGCACTGAGATGAAATGCACGTTGCGACATATTTCGTACAAGCACTCATTTTTACAACTTATCTGGAAAATGTATTTTTTATCAACGTTTTACTAAATGTACTAGAGGGTAAGATTCGTCCTCGATATTAAGACTTATTTGGGGTAGAAGGAAGTGGGGAATTTAAACGAGCCCAGTCCTCGTGTTAGAATAGAACTGCCAGTTGCATTTGCAAGGTCCTTCGACTAGCAAGGACGAAGGACAGTCACGCACTTACCGAGGGCGAAGAGTATTTATTGCGACTTTCAGACAATCACGTGTTTATCGCGCTTTTCTCGGATCGCAAAATTTTCACTCGTGTTTCGATTCAATTTCTGAAAATCTGCTTTTTTAGTTTTCATTGACACTTTCAGAATGATGTTGTATGGAGTGGGGGTCAGTTTTTCTGATTACGTTTTTCGTTCCAGGAAGCCCTCTGTTGACGACGTTGGCAACCCGTCTTCAGTTAACGCTCGGTGAGTTTTTGTTTGTTTTTTTTTTACTTTTGCATGATATCAGGGAGAAGTTTATTCGATATCGGTGGTAACGGTTAAAGTCGCGGTATTTTGAATTGCGAAATATATGTTATGTTTAACCTATATAAAACGCAATAAAGTGGGTCGGATGTAATGGCTTGAAATTATTCCATTTCATTTTTGTTCAATGACAAAAATTGTTATTGAAATTAAATTATTCTATTCAGTCGAGTAAAGAATAAAATGGAGTAGAATGAAGTAAATAGTTTACATGCTCCAAAAAATGTTCGTTTTTGAAGGGAGATTAACAGGTGACATATCTACCAATGAAAAAGGAATCGGAAAAGTTCAATAATATTCCTACTATTATCTTTCTTTTCATTGAATTTGGTTTACTTCATCCCAATGAATATATCTTACGAACATTTATCATTTTCACATTACAAAATTATAACCACTGTTTTTGTAACTGTCGAGTAGTTGTAATAGTTCTCATTGAAAAAATTAGTAATAAAAGGCTTGGAATTTTTCGAAAGATTGGCAATTTTTTTTCAATGAGAAACTTTTACTGTCTTGATTTGAAAATGATATCGCTATCACGTAACCTATTGAACATTTTAGGTCCAAGATAATAAAAAAGGTTTTTGTGGTATAGATTTGTTCAGTAAATGTCGGACATTAGTTTATCTCTAGTACTTGTTGGATAGTGATTTCGTTTGAAAAGTATATAAACCTTGTTTTTATACACGTAAATTCGTAATACTGGTACATTAACATAAAAACTAACAATTGGTACCCTATGATTTTTAAAGGGTATCCATATGTATCTCTCCATCCAATACCAACAACGATGTTTATTGCACTCTTCCATGAAATATATACTCAGCAGAAGACCCGGTACCCCAATTTCAAATTCCATATAGCAATTGACAGTTTATGGTTACAAACTTCAAGCTCAGTCAAATTAATTCACTACAGAAATCAGGTATCGAATCTCAGAGCATAGCAGTTTTTTTTCCTGTTCAGTAATTGGGTTTTGATATGTGAAATGCATGTGAGTTTGTAGTCCAATTGATTTGCCACAAAAAATCAGCTGTTGAATCTCTGACCATAGCAGTTTCTTCCTGTTGAATACATCGTGTTTTAATATGAGAAAAGTGCGAACTTATTCAATGGTGTTTTCGATGTGTTGAGTGTTGAATGATTCTTTCTCGCCTCTAGGTTCACTTCGTCATATACTGCCTGATTTTTTTCCATTGGAATCGTAACAGCATGCTCTCCAACTATAACATTCGTGTCATCCACATACGCTACTATATAATGTGTTGACAATTCCAACTCTTTAGCGTATATAAAAATAGTAAAGGTCCTAGAATTGAACCTTCTGGAACACCTTGCTTAATCTTTACCAATGGACTAGAAGTATGTTGAAAACTAACACGTTGACTTCTATCATTTCATTCGTTCTAAAGGTACTACTTACATCATATTTTCTTAATTTGCATTTTAACAGATCACAAAATAGTGGGATACCTTGTTCAACAATTCTACAGATAGGCTGTAGAATTCGTTCCATCATAACTACTGGCCTGGTTACAATCCAAACAGAGCTGATCACTCTAAGAGATATTTTCTCAGATTCTTTCTTTACTACATTCCACTATTGCCATTATTCGTTGCGTTCATAAGTAAGGTATAAATAATTATGGTACCCATGGAAACTGGAGGCATAAGGTTTGGATGACATTAAACTTAACGCCTTTCGAGAAAGATTGTCCATCAGTCCTAAGGTCGTGAAAGAATACACGCTATCGGTGTGGCATTCGGAGAAGAGAAATGTGCAACGGTCCATCTTAAAAGAGGAAGATCCAGGAATTACGGAGAGGACGTGCAACTTATTGACGGAAGCACCCTCTGAATGCTGGAAAGATTTATATACTTATCTCGGGCTTGAACAGTCTCTCACAGGAGGTGAACTTTGTGAAGAACTTTCTTCTCGGTAAGTATCAGCACAAACTCCAGAAGATCTGCTTCTCGGAACTGTCACGAAACACAAAGTTGCTACTTCAAATTTGCTTACTGTTTCGATCTTACTCTACTCTTTTGGAGTAGATGAGTGGACACGGAAGGAACTGTATCAATTCGACGTGAAGACTCGAAAAATTCAAAGTTCCTAGTATGTGCTGTTGATATTGCCTGCATATGCAGTCTTACCCTATATCCATCAAGATAACGCGGTACTCAAACTGCTCTAGTACCTCCTTGGCACTCCTGAAGTATTGATGAGACACCGCTGTTGCCTTATGTTCGGGAAAATCCGTTGTCAGAAATGAGAAGTGCCAAATTCATTGGACTATTCATTACCCACCCCCAGGCTGACAAGCTCAACAATCAATTTCCAGAAGTACTGAGTCAGGTGCGTTTTTTTAAAGAATATTTTCTACAAGCATACATTTCAGAAAATATGTTGAAAATTATTAGAAATACTAACAAAGTGAAGGTTTTACTTTTGGTATTCCAGCTTTAAATGCATTTTTATTTTATGTTTGCCCATTTTTAAATAATAATTAACAGATTTATGGTCTTATATTGTAGTTTATAAAACGACTTCTTTTTGAAGATGATCTGCTCGCTTATAACTGACGCGATAATTTGTGACGCACAACTTTTGTGGAGATAACATTTTCCAAGTGAATATAATCAAATCTATGGAAGCGCAGAACGGCCTCATTATTTTATTATTTGTTTCGTGGAAATTTAGACTATAATCTCAAAATTTCGACTTGAACCTCGAAATTTCAAAGTAAAGTCGAAACTCCGACATCAAAGTGGAAATTTTGAGATTATAGTCGGAATTTCCAGGAAACAAATAATAAAATAATGAGGTCCTTCTGCGTTTCCGTAGATTTGATTATATTCACTTCAAAAATGTCATCTTCCCAAAAGTTAATTTGCGGTTATAGTTGAAATTTAGAGTTCTCGCTTTCTACTCCTCCATTATTGAAAAAAATATGTTGAGCTTATTCAAAATAGAATACCGAATTAAATGGATTTTTTCTTATTTAGTTAGTACTCGAAACAATCGTTGAAATGAAACAGATATAATTCACGAGAACGTAATATATTAAAAAATATTGATTCAAAATGTCACTCATGCGGTGAAATTTATCTTTTGTGATCTTCTTTTTGTCCATATTTTTTTCTGTAATCCTTCAAATGCCGTCTACTATTCATTATCGATTGACCTCGTACACCTTTGCCGTAGACCTCCTAAACGTAGACAATTCCAAATGTCTCAGATTCTGCTGTTGTATCAGATATCTGTTAACATTCCATTGATTGGAGCGCAGTTGAACAGACACATAAGAAGTTATTTGAAGAAAAAATTCCGGATAATGGTTGTCTGGTTATTCTGGTCGGTTCATGCCGCTCTTGGGGATCGAAAGTGACAATGTCCACGAGCGGCAAACTGGAGGACGCGTGCTCAAGAATGAGAGTGGAAAAAACCACGGACTTTCGCGAAGAATGAAATAAGAAGGCACTATAATTGATATTCGGGACTCAAAACTATTTTAAACGCGTCCCAGGTATTTATCTACGACGTTAAATACACACAATTCTGAAGTGAATAAAATCATTCGGACATTTTCGTTTTTTGAACATAAACTTTTTTCATCTTAGTGAATTGAGGTACTTGCTTCACCAACATTTCTATGTCTTGAATGAACATTTTGAGAAAAGTGTGTTTTTTTTTCAGCTCATCAGCTGTGCTTGGGGAAGTTTGTTCTTAAACAATCCCTTTAAAAATACTTTTCATTGTCGTATTTTATTTCCACAGTACACACATATCCATAGCCATCATGTAAAAAACAGTGGTAGTAGAGTTCATTCACAAAATCAATACAATATTATATCATCATCAATACATACTGCTATTATGAATTGAAATCTCCCGCCCTGTCAATATGTTTGAACGCAATAAATTCAAAAAATAACTAACGGATTTCCATACGGTTTTCACCAATAAACAAAGTGAATCAAAAGGAATGTTTATGTGTATAATTTCTAATGATTTGTGTGAATTGGTTGAAATATGACGGTGTTATCCGTGAGAAGTCGGGACGATGGAGTTACCCTTTTGGACCTTCCATCTATAACGCTGTCGAATCTTTTCGAGATATAACAAAACAATTCACTACACATTGTTCTGCTTTCAAAGTTCTCCAAAAAAGTTCGATAGCAGATGTCTATTTTCTAAGGTCAGTTCAATATACCTAACCATTTTGATGTTTGAAATAATGGTCACATATGACGTGGTAATTGGAAAGTTATTTATATGGATATGATATTGATCCATATAGAATCAAATACGTTATTTACTCAGAGTATTTCATGCACATTATAATTTATTGTAACACTACATAGTTCAAATTAATATCTTGGAAGTTATCGCAAACTTCAAGTTATCGCGGGACAAAATGAACTCACGCGGCCAGACAGACCGATGGGACAAGATCGTATTTATGTTTTGTGTTGTCTTTAGGTAGAATAGTACTTTTCTATTTCAAAATTAAAATTGACAGTTGGGAACATACTTTTGAATATTACTATAGTTTTATATCAACACCAAACCGTTATTTTAACACTTCGACACGTGTTTTGATCACCAAGTGATCATGCGCAAGAGGAAGATTAATCTTCCTCTTGAAGATGATCACTTGGTGATCAAAACACGTGTCGAGGTGTTAAAATATCTATTTGGTGTTGGGGTGAAACTCCAGTAATATTCATTACCACACCAAAGGTTCCAAACAGTGCATCACAAGAACATACTTTTGTTTGACAGAATTCTATCCAATGTAAGCTTGAGTACACGACTCCGCTCAGGAAATTGATATGAGATTGTGTGTTAGATGGTAGAAAAAGAAATGAACTTCAACTCATAGGGGATCAATGGATCTTGCTTTATATACCTATACCAATGGGGCACCCTACCCATA